GAGGCCAGAGTGGCTGACATAACTGTCCAGAGCCAGGGGCCGGCGGGCCCTGGCCATGAAGGTGGGATTCAAGGCTTCAGCGCCCACTTGAGCAAATGGGAAATGACAGGAACACTTTTAAGTGGTAAGTGAGGAGTTAACGTGGAGAATGAGGAAGAAGGAGCCTCAGGGGTGAGTGATGAGTCTGAGGCTTGAATGACAAGCTGAATGGCAGTGCCACAGACGGAGATGTGGAAAGACGTGTCGGTTGTAACTTCTGTTGGGAGCTGGTGTTTGGGAAATAGACTGACTTGTTTGTGCCAGTTTGAGTTTAAGGCTCATTTAAGACTTTAGGTGGAGATAGCAATTAGGCAGTTAAAGGTATGGAGTTCAAGGAGCGGTTGGGGCTGGGGATTAAAAATAATAGTCACGTGTCCTTTGTCATGGAGTTATGGGGATGATGAGGCTGGAGAGAGGAGAGATTGATGTGAGCGCAGCGCTGAGGCTCCCCATCCCTCCGGACTGGGCAGGACAAGAGGATCCCACGAAGGTGACCGAGAAGGAAGAGCAGAGACATACAGGACAGCTCGGAGCCCAGGGCCGGAGGGTGAGAGCCGGGGGAGAAGCTGGGAGTGATCCCCAGGGCCACGCGCGGCTGAGAAGGTGGGTCAGACGAACGAGACACCGTCCTGGGCTGGCCCTGTTCTGTGAACCCACAAGCCAGCCAGGAGTGGGCCGGGGGTGAGAGGTGAGGCCATGGAGGCTGGGAGCACAGAGCTCCGGAGGGTTTGGTCCGTGATGGGCCTGCCGGGCAGACGCGGGCGAGAGAGGACAAGAGGGCATCGTGGGGACGATTGTGTTGAAAAGTCATGGGCAAGAATCCAATGAGACAGAGAGTTGAAATACAGGAGACAGTTGTAAGTTCCTGTCGTGGAGGTAAAGGGTGTTTTTTGAGTTTAAGGAGGGGAACTGACCTGAGGGGGGTGGGAGGGAGGGAGGGGGAGGGGAGAGCACTGGAAAGTTGGGGGGCATTGGTTGGGGAGGTTGCAGTGGCTCCTTTTCTGAGTGTCTCCCTCTTCTGTGAGGTCGGAGGCAAGGCTGGCTGATGTGCGCGGGAGTGCGCGGGTGTGCCCGCGAGCGGCGTGCACACGTGCACGTGTGTGGGTGAGGAGCCCCTCTCAGGAAAATGGAAGGGGCTGAGACCTGGCTACCTTCAGGGGGAGGGGGCGGTCAGTGTGGTGCTCCCAGGCAACCGGAGACTGGGGCCGGGAAGTCACAGAGGGCGGAGCCGCCCTGCTGAGCCACCTTCTCTGCAAGTGTTGAGCAATGGCTGGAGGGTTAGTCCAGGTTTGGGGTCTTGCCCAAAGTGTGGGTCACAAAGACAAAGGCCCCAGGGCGTCTAGAGCTTGGGAGTGACATGAAGCCCTTAAACACTCAAGTTGGATCTAGAAGAAAGGATGGGCGAGTGGGTGGGATTGCACCCGCCTTCCAGCAAACTGGAAACTTCCAGCCAACTTTAACAGCTGGGTGGGGAGGTAAGTTGAGGCCAATGGGGTGCCAGAGCTTTTCTCCCGAGGCCAGTGGGGGGTTAGTTAGGAATTCCATGCTCTTGACTGACACAGACCTGCAGCTGGAAAGTGCACCCCACCTGCCGTGTGGGTGGGACTAGAGCTGAGGAGTGAGGCTGAGCGGCTGGGAGAAGCCAAAGGGCCTGAAGGTGCAGGGAGGGAGGCACCCGGACGGGGCAGGCCTGGACGACAGCCCCTCTCAGCCAGGCGGCCGAGCCTGCGGGCGGGACAGGCTGCTCCAGGATGCTCGTGGGCTTTGTAGGACTGCGAGACACAGGGGTGACCATGGGCTGGGAGGGCAGGAATTAGCACAGGAAGAGGCCAGGCCTGTGAGGATCCTGAATTTTAAGAGTTTGAATTTTAATGAGCGTTGCCAGAAAACCCTCCGTTCCCCTAGAGATTAGGGTCCAGCCCTTTGTGGCCACTGCCGAGGCCTGGAGAAGCAGCTTGGCCCTGTCACGTCCCGGGGATAAGCCCGCCCCTCACCCTCGCCAGGCAAAGGCAGAAAGCAAAGTGCCGCGGGCCCAGCGCTGGTCTCCTGGGGCTCCAGGACTGAGACAGGCTGCCCCTGCCCCTCGGAGCCGCCCTCAGGGGCTGCCCCTGCCCCTCGGAGCCACCCTCTTCCCCGAGGACAGTGAGACTCGAGACTCAGGGCAAAGCCACCGCACAGGGGCCGTTGTTCCAACACAGCTCGCTGCTCTGGGGTGGGGAGGAAACACGTGGTCTCCCGAGCCTCTGCTCCGGGTTCACGGCCACGATCGAGGGCGGCCCCCTGATCGCTGAGGCCACAGGGCTGCTGACCCCAAGTTGCCCGGTAGACCAGTCCGTCCAGGTGCACTACCGACCCCGTACCTCCCGGGTGTGCAGCAGACCCCACATTCTCCGTCAACGTTTGAAGCCCCCGGCCTGTCACCGAGTTCATCAAACAGGACAAATTCAAGCGTTTTGTCCCGTGTCCTCCGGGTGTCCCCTTTGCAGTCCCCTCCCCCGCCCCAGTTCTGACACTGGTGAGGGGTTTCCCACCTCCAGAGGGAGCACAGTCTCCGTCGTGCTTGGGGGGCTGGGGCCGAAGCCGCACACAGCTTCAGAGTCGTCCTAGACACTCCATGGGGATGGAAGACTCGGCCACATCCTCTCCCTCGGCGTGGGGGCCAGCGGTGCCGCCGCTCCCCCTGTTCACGGCTTCACCGCTGCAGCCGCCCCTCGCCGCCCCACCCCTGCCCCGCCAGCCCCCCTTCCTGTCCTCTGGGCCTGAGCACAGGCGGCTCTCGCGCCTGAACCTCTCGTCTCCTCCGGCCCCCTTCACCCTGCTGTTTCCCAAGTCCTCATCCAAGTCCTCATGCCACGTCGCCCGTGCCCCCCGCGGCCTCTGCTCCCTGCTGTCCTCCCGGGGCACTCGGAGGGGCAGGCCCTGCTTTCCGTCCTCCCCTGCAGCCCCAGCACCTCGCGGCGAGTCTGGTACATTCACATGCCAAACGCAAAGAGCAGAGCGCAGGAACTGTAGATAAGCGGCGCCTGTCCCCCAAGGATCGAAGGGTGGCTGCCTGGAGACCTCGCAGCAGGGACAGCTGTGCAGAAACCCAAGTCAGGGTTCAGAGGAAGGTGTGCGGAGCGGGGAGGGAGACCGACCAGGTAAACAGGGATGGGGTGAGTTGGGTGAGTGGCCAAGTGGAGAATTGGAGGGTGAGAAAGAAGGGCTTTCCAAGGGGGGCGGGCATCCCAGGAGAGGAGCCAGCCCGCAGCAAGGCATGGGGTGTTGGTAGCAGGGGGTGTGAGGGCCGGGTGGGGGGTACTCTCCCCCCAGGGGGGTGGAGGAGGTGCATCGTGAGCTGTGCTGCAGGTGCAGAAGGATGACAGCTAGGCCCCAGGGCAGAGAGAGGCAGGGCTGATGCGGAAGGCGGGTGCCTGTATGGAGGGCTTCACTTCTATCCCTGGAAATGGCATCGGTGCAGGGTCAGATGCTGGTGGGGTTCACTCTAGTGACCTGGAGAAAAGTTAGTGGAAGAAACAGGGCCGGGGGGGCCGAAGAGTCCAGAGCCTTGGGGGGTGAACAGGGGAGGCGAGGAGCGTCTGGACCAAATGCAGAGCAAGAGCAGGGAGGGAATGTGGGGCTGGCGGTGCTGCCTGCCTGGCCGCGGGAAGCGGGGGTGACCCAGGAGCACACAGCCGCGGGGACGGGCAGTCGCCTCAGAAGGGGAAGCAGAGGGGTAGGCCCTGGGTGGGGAGAGCTTGGAGGTCAGTTTGGAACATGTGGCTGAAGAGTCCACACCGAGGGTGGATTTTGTGAATGTAGCCTGGAGAGAAAACTCAACTTCAGTCAGATAAACAGACAGGAAATTAGAAAACAAAAATTGCCCAGATAAAATAAATAAAATAAAATGCACAGAGAGAGAAATTCAGTTTCCCAATAGAACGACTCATTCAGCAAAATGACTCTTCACAGATACCTTCTAATTGCAATCGTAGCTGCTGTGAGAAAACATAATTCAGCTGCCATCAGTTCAGTTCCCACCAAGAGCTCGCTGGGAACGTGGCTGATCATTCTGGCCGACTCGGTGGGGCTCAGATAAGTATCCCTGGGTCAGAGAAGAGAAAAAGACAACTCAAGTCCCGGGAAGCTGAAAACCCACCACCGGCAGCAGGGCTGGAGGCGAGCCCGGCGCTGTCCTGCTCCAGACGTGGGCCTCGGGCTGTTCGGCCTGGCATCCTCCGCCAGCCTCCTGGGCGCGCCGGCGCGTGTGCTGGCACAGGCAGGCGTGTCGTGTCGAGGGCTTCAGCTCAGCAGCAGCAGCCGCCTCCACTCCAGGCACCTGACGACCGCAGAGCCAGCCCTGCCTTCCGCTCGGGTTTCAAAGAGCCAGTAAAGGCCTGGGTCTGGGGATGGGCCACACGTCAGGACCTTGATCAAGTCTGCACAAGAGGGATGCAGGGCGTTTGGAAGAACCTCCAGGGAATGAGAGAGTCCTTCTGGCTGCTAACATTCTGACTTTGCAGTTTGCTTCCTGTAGGAAACATTTAAGAACAGTGCACCCATGAGGCAAAAAGGGCAGAGGGCACGCGTTCTGGGATTTGGGATTGAGACCTGACTGGGTCCTGCACAGACCGGCTTGTGCCTTGGGGTCAGTGCCACCATCTCTCTGAACCTGCTTGCCCGTCGTAGCGCAAGTGCAGTCATAATGTCTGCATCTGGGGTTCGCTGAGGGCCCGATGACCTGACGTCGGCCAGCTGTCCCATTAGTCCCCTGTCTGTTGCCAGCCACGTGGGTGTTGAGAGTCTCTGCTCCTGGGACAGGATGCTCGGCTCATCTCCCACCAATGTCTTTCTCCTCTCTTGCAGGCTTATTTCCTTCCAAAATGACACCCGCCTTTTATGGAGTGCTCTTGGTAGTTAGCCTCTGGGCTCCCATCTACTCTGTGCGTCCACCCAGCCCTGCTAGCCAAGAAGCCCCCCAACCCTCCTCCACAAAGAGCACCCCCACCCCCCAGGGGTCCTCCAGCAACACCGACTTTGCCTTCCGCCTGTACCGGAGGCTGGGGTGGAAGAGCCCGAGTCAGAACATCTTCTTCTCCCCCCTGAGCGTCTCCGCCTCCCTGGCCATGCTGTCCCTCGGGGCCCGCTCAGCCACCAGGAGCCAGATCCTCCAGGGCCTGGGCTTCAACCCCCAGCACACGCCAGAGGCCGCCATCCACCGGGGCTTCCAGCGTCTGGTTCACTCCATCAACATCCCCAGCCAGAGCCTGGACGTGAAGATGGGCAGTGTCCTCTTCGTCAGGAAGGAGCTGAGGCTGCAGGCCAAGTTCCTGGATGATGTCAAGAGGCTGTACGAGTCGAAAGTCTTCCCCATGGATTTCTCCGACGCCGCCGCTGCCCTGGAGAGGATCAACGGCTACGTGGAGAAGGAGACCCGGGGGAAGGTCGTGGGCTTAGTCCAGGGGCTGGAGCCGATGGTGGCCATGGTCCTGGTGAACCACATTTTCTTTAAAGGTAAGACTCTGAGAGGTTGGCTTTGATTTTGATGGTTTTTTTTCCTTCCCATTCCCCCCCGTCCAGTCAAATAAGCAGCTAGATCAACCCTAGTAGGGGTGGGTGAGAGGGAGCGCTGAGTTCAAAGTAGCTCTGCAGTCCCTGGTGGATGGCCTGGGCCGCCTCACCCTTCCGCCCCGAGCCCAGGCCGTCCGTCAGGCTGCGGCTCGCTCAGTTCCGTCTTGGGAGAGCCCGCGGCTAAGTTCTGAGGGTCTGGCGCTGGGCTCAGTGGGCAGCCCAGGGAAAGCTCTTCTGAAAGTGGCCTTGGGAGGAAGGAAGCGCATCTCTTAGCACCAGTGGCTGCCTGCTGCCCACAGAGGAGTTCCAGGAGGACACAGAGCTCCCCGGCGGCCCGGGGGAAGGAGGAAAGCTGAGGGTGTGAACACTTTCATGGGGGAAAGCGGGCGGAGAGATATAACTGTCACTCACAGCCCCCGGGACACCTGTCTAGCGCTTTACAGATTACAGACACTGCCTCGGAAGAGCACGTCGGCTACCACCAGACAGCCCTGGGGGGATGCCCACCGCTGCCCTTCACTTGCTCTGGGATCCTCGTCATGTTGGGTTAGAAGTTCTGCCATGTGTTGCGCGCCCAATGGGTGCCAGTCTCCAGGCTGGGGTGGACGAACATCAAGGTCTACTTGATAGGCACGTGCTTAGGGTAGAAGTGACTGGACTCTCCAGGCAGAGTCAGCATGGATGCTGCGGTGTCTGCCCTCACCTCCCTCCACCTCCCTCCATTCATCCATCCCCCTGTTTATCCATCCATCTCTGCATCCACCCACCAGCCTCCTGTCTGCCCACCTAGTCATCCATCCAGCACCTTGGGAGGAGAAGGAGATACAATTCATGTATTTTAAGCCCCTACTAAGTTTCTAACACTTTATCTTGTCTCAGTTTTGAATTAATTTTATTTTTGATTAAACTATAATTCACAAACCACAAAATGCACCATTTTAAACCATACAATTCAGTGGGTTTTGTTTTTCTGTATAGTCACAGGGTTGTACAAAATGTCAACACTATGTAATTCCAGAACATTTCCATCCTTTCCAAAGAAAACCCCTTGTCTCCTCATTCCTGAGCTTCCTTCCTGGCAGCCTATAATCAACTTTCTCCATGGATTTACCCATTCTAGACATTTTATATCAATAGAATCAAACAATAGGAGTCTAGGCCAGTGTATTTTTTTTCCCCTTCAGTGGCTGCCAGGTGGCTGGATTTCACTGCAAACGCTGGTTGTTTATTTTCAAGGCTAATGACCAGCTGGAGAGTGGGACATAGAGGTAGAACAAATAAAACACCGCTGTTCTCACTAAGACTCAGCTGGTTTTCTTTAACATATTATTCCCCCGGTGTGGTGGAGGATTTTGGGTAACTTCTTGAGTTCTAGAAAGCGACTTTAACCATTGTTTGCAGATTTCTCGTTGTTCTGTAAAAGAGTTTTTAAAGGTCCTTCCTTTACCATTTTCCCTGTCTTCCCTGCACTAATTGCACTTTGCCTTAAGCATCTCTCTTTTCTATTTGCACCAGGCAAGTGGGAGAAGCCCTTTGCCCCTGCAGACACTCGAAACAACTTCCCATTCCTGGTGGACAAAAAGACCAGCGTGCGGGTCCCCATGATGCACCAGGTGGAGCAGTTTGCTTTCGGGGTGGATCCGGAGCTGAACTGCTCTCTGCTCCAGATGGGCTATAAGGGGGACACCACGGTCCTCTTCATGCTCCCAGGTCAGGGCAAGATGAGGCAGCTGGAACAGGCCTTGTCAGCCAGGAGGCTGCAGAAGTGGAGTCACTTACTCAGGAAGAGGTGGGCATCCGTGTCTCCTGGCTGGGGTCTGAGGCAGGTGATGCTGTCCATCCAGGGATGGGGCAGGACTGGGGTGAAGGGTGTGGAATGCTCCCTCTTGCAAACTGAGCACCGACTGCACGCTAGACAGCGAGAGGGCTGTGCATATATGCTCTCACTCGAACCTCACCATCTGCCGACAGATAAAGGAAATAGGGGCTTTGAGAGTGGGGGTGAGTAGCCCAGGGTCTTGTTCACTTGTCACAACAAAACTGTTATGTCATTGTAGGTATCTGAGCAAGGAATAAATCCACAAAAACAAACTCCCACAAAAAAGCACGAAGTAAACGAGGATGATCATAGCACCAAACTCATATGTTCTTGGAAAGAGAAGTTGCTGTTTATAAAGTAGTGGGTAGAACGCCTGGGAGATAGTAAGTGCTCAGTCAGTGTTGAAGGTGAGGTCATTAGTCCTGTATTATTATGGGAAGTAGCAAAAGGATGTTAACCATAAGATAAAAAGGGGTGTCAGTCTAAGTACAATCTCTTAGTCATAGTTTCTTGGCATTGTTGGCATCATGCCCAGATGTTCATATTCTAGAAGAAGAAACCGGGTTAACTGAATCAAGCATATCCTTGGGGGATGATGGAATCCAAGAGGCAAAATGCAAAGGAATTTCTGAGCAAAGGGCGAAGGCTTTTAGCTGGGATTGAGGGAAGGCGTCAAGGAGGTGGTGGCATTTGAGCCTAAGTATAGCGGGGATGAGAAGACACAGAGGCTTGGGAGGGGCATTACTGATAAACAGCACTGGCAAAAATGCAAAATCAGGGATCCAGGGATGCCGTGGGGTGTTTCTAGGTTTTCCCCTGCTCAGATGGCCTCCAGGGTGGGATAAAAGAAGCAGAGGCAGCAGGGAGGCTGGGGGGAGGGGTGGAGCACCAGGCAGCAGAGCAGCCCAGGGGAGAGGGTGAAGGCCGAGCCAAACAGGGCAGAGCACTGTCCATGATGCTCAATGTCACCAGAAGGTCATTGATGAGGACTGAGGCATCCTTCCAGCACTTTTGTGACTCAATAAGTAATGGACCTTGAACAGAGCACTAAGCCTCAGCCCTACCATCTTCAGGTGGAGAAAATGTTCATGGGCAAACCTGGGGCAGTGCCCACACAGCCAAGGAGTAAGAACAAGGACAGACAGTTCACGCTTGGTGCAGAGAAATCTCTGCAGAGGGAAAAAACAATGGGCCCAGCTCTGGGCTGTGCCGTCCCGCAGAGCAGCCACTAGCCACTGTGGTTATTTCAATTTAATTAAGTAAAACAAAAAAATTTAACTCCTCATTGGCACCAACTGTGTTTAAGTTGCTCAGGAGCCACATGTGACTCGCGGCTACTGCATGGACCACATGAATACAGAACATTCCCAACTGTTCAGAAAGTTCCACTGGGTTTTGCTGCTCTAGGAGATTAGCAGGGCTTGTCACGGGAAGGGCTGGTGGGGGGCTCTGGGGGCCAGAGGGGGAAGGCATGTTTCCATCGGTGCCTCCATCGGCTTTTGCCATAGGCTCCAGGCAGGGGCCCCTTCTCAGCGCTGCCCCTGCTACATCGGGGCCCATTTTTCATCTTGTATATCTCCGGGGCTGGCCGGGCTCTGGCAGGAGGCTGACCTCCAGAGCAACCCGAGCTGGAGGTAGACGTTTGTCTAGGAGGTGGAGGTTGACCCCGCCAGCAGCAAGCAGCAAGCCTGCAGCAGCGCAGTGTCCTGACCTGTCACCTAGGAGAGCGATGGCGACCCGGGGGCTGTGACCTCACCTTTTCCTTTCCCCTTCTCTGCAGGTGGGTAGAGGTGTTCATGCCAAAATTTTCCATTTCCGCCTCCTATGACCTGGAGACCATCCTCCCGAAGATGGGCATCCGAGATGCCTTTGGCAAAAACGCTGATTTTTCTGGGATCACGAAAAGAGGCTCCCTGCAGGTTTCCAAAGTGAGTTGGTCAATAGGATATTTCCGCAGAAGCCCATGTTGTCAGGGCTGTAGAGACTGGCTCACCGAGCATGGGCAAGGAAATGGTGCCCAGGAGGCAAAGGGACTTCACTGTGACCAGAGTAGGATGGAATCTCGGGAGTGTCAGGCCTGTGCGGTGACCCCACAGTTCCCACACGACGGCTTCGGCCCAAGTTCCTAAGCGCCAACTACACTTCTTTACGTGCCGGCGTCTCCTTGGCGGGTGGTGCTATTGCTCCGGTGCCTGCTGCCAACGAGCAGTGCTTACCTGGCCTCCAGTCCCCCCCTGAAGCTTAGGCCACACCAAGGTCATAACTTGCTGATCTGGGTCACTAGTGCCCTGTAGCTGGGTGGTATTCAGCCAGTGACTGGGCATTGACCTAAAAATCTAGATTTCTGATTCTCTTGCAGCAAATCACTGAGCCCGGTTCCCACCAGGCACCAGGGAGCCCAAACCGCTACTCAGCGGGGATTGACCAGCACCGAGCTAAGAGCACCCCTTTGAGCCAGGGTGCACCATACAGGTCCCCCCATGCGTCTCAGTCTCTTACAAGAAATGTCCTCATCTAGGGCCGCCTGCCGGTGCCTTTCTGGTCCCTGACCTAAATATTTTGACAACAGATTCGAAGCGTCAGGAGTGACCTGGACCACGGAAGGCCCTGCCCCCCACCGGCATCCAGGGGAGGCGCACAGAGGCCTCACTCTGTGAGCATAAATGACCTTTTCCCACAAAGTGCTTCTGTGGCCCTACGAAATACGACTGTCAGCAGCTCTCACTCCCTCTGACTCTTAGGGGTACCAGAACCCTAGGTTAGGAATCTCTTCCCTGGAAGACCCAGAAGGGATCTATGCTGAGTGAGCCCTAGCCTATGTCCCCCCACGGCAGCACACGGCCACTGTCACAGGCCGCGGCGTTAGCACGTGCACCTGAGCTCATCAAACACCCCTCCTGCGTGTGCGGCCGTCATCAGCCTTTCCTGGATTTGGGAAGCGCAGCCCACAGCACCTGAACACCACCTGTACCTGGATGGCGCCCCAGAGGCCAGTGGCCACATGGCTGCATGGATGGAGAGAGCAGAGTGCGGGCCTTTGGTGTCTCTCACCTCGAAGCTTCTGAAGGGGGCACCCCCACTCCTGGGCAAAGCGCCAGACCCCAGTTAAGCATAGTGTCATCACGGGCACAGCTGATGTTTGCTTTTTCCTTGGCAGGTTGCCCACAAGGCTGTGCTGGACATCGATGAGGAGGGCACAGAGGCCGCAGCCGCCAGTGCCACCAACCTCGAGCTCCGGTCAAAGGACAGGCCCGCTTACCCCACCATCACCTTCGACAAGCCCTTCCTCCTGCAGATCACGCACGATGCCACAGGCTCCCTTCTCTTCCTGGGGAAAATGCAAGATCCCACAAAATTCTAGGTGGCAAAAAGCTGGCTGACTGAATCCACAGCAACCATGCTTGAAAAACCACAGACCTGTGGCCTGTGCTCCTGGGGTGATGTAAGCTCAGGGTCCTCTTGTTCCAAGGGTCCCTCACCCCAGCAGTGCTGTATGCCCACCCAGGGTGCTGCTTTTGAGGCTCGGTCACCTAAAGTCAGCAGAGCTCTTGTCACAAATCAACAGCCGTGGTCTTTCCCGAGCCCTGCAGGCATGACCTGGGCCCCTGGGAATAGGAATGGGGCCTGGCAGTGAATAATTCAATAAACCTACACCATGAACGCAAGCAGTGCCCGTGTGTACCGTGAACAGGCCCCTGGTCTGAAGTGGCTCATCGGCAGCTCTCGTGACTGCTTGTCACTGTGTGACGTTTCAGTGGCTGCCTGAGTCGGTTTGTTTATTCATTTATCCATTCAATGAAAATTTAGTCATCACCTACTCTGCACTGGGAGCAAATCAGACAAACCAGGTCCCCAGCCTAGTGGGCCTAGATGGGGTGCAGACCACCCGCCACCAGAGTAAAACACGACCTACAATAGACGGGGTTGTCTCAGGAAGCAACAAGCACTGCGAGGACACGGAAGAGACAATCTGAAAGTGGGTGAAGGGAGGGTGGCGGTGGGGTGCTCCTGTGTGCACAGAGGCCAGCCAGGAAGGAGCAGGTCTGTTGGGGCCACAGAAGGGCCTTGTGGCTAGACTGGAAGAACGGACAGGGACAAGCGGGTCAGATCATGGAGAGCATTACTGGCCAAGGACAGACGTCTGGGGCGGGAGCACCACTGAGCCAGGGGAGTTCCAGGCAGGAGACAAAGGGCAGGCCACAGCTTGGGTAGGGCTCTCTGCCCTTTGTCCACCCAGCTTCTCCAGGGCCGCCTGCCCTCCTGGTTCTGATGTTGTTGTGTGTGTGCGCACACACATACACAATCACACACACCAGGCAAAGGCGATGCCATCTCCCTCCCCCCCACCTCTGCCAGATACCATTCTGGCCCTTTCCATCTGCATTACTGAGGGCATCTACTGCAGCCTCTACTGGAGCCCACACTCCCAAGACACCAGACACTTTTGGGGGCACTGGTGCTCCAACTAGCTCAGATGTGTGGGGACCCTCATGTTGGCTTTTCCAAGCTCTTGTCCACAGACAGGAAACAGAAAAAATCATGCTAAAGTAACGCAGAGGCTTCAACAGAGGCCCCCGCCTCCTATAAGCCCACCTTATTTTACAAGTTGGGGAACCAAGAACCAAAGAGCAAAGATCCCCTGGACAGAATGAGCGTCAGGGCCAAAGCTCCGACACAGGAGACCCCAACCCCACCCTCTGAAACACTGCCTGTCCCAGACTCGGCCTTAGCACAGCACTCTGGCCTGGCCCGCACGGAAGCAATGGCTGGGCGCCGGCTCCAGGAACACCAGCTGCCCAGGGTGGACAGCAGCAGGGATGGCCAGCGAGGAGGATCGGCTAAAGGTGCACTTGTGGCCACAGCTCCCAGCAATTTCTCGCGGCTCTCGTAGGTGTCAGGGGCGGGTGGGGGCTGTCAGTCTCCTTCCCACCACCTGGCTCTGGGGGGGCGCAGTACAATGAGAGGCGGCCTCAGGGGGCCTTCTGGTGCCCATGCAGATGTATCCTAGCAGGCACAAGAGCAGGCACAGAACCTCCTCTGTGCCCTGGTGAGCTCTCAACACGCTGTTCTTGCCGATGTCCGTCCCCTGCATTCATTTTTAACCGTGTCCAGGTGTGTTGCAATCAGGCACAGCAGGATGACGGGCGGAGACCACGGCCTTGGAAAGAACTGCAATACTCTGAGGTCCCAGGAAGAGAGGCCATCCCAGTCCACACAAGGGGACCCAAAAAGAAGCCCCCAGGCTGGTCAGAAGGCAGAAGGAGCAGCAGCAGCGTTTGGAGAGGACCCTTATCACTACGGAGGTGCAGGGCAGTTGTGTGGGGCACCCCCTCCCGGGCAGGGGGAGAAGCGCAGATGTGGAGGCTTGTGCTTGGACGGTCTGTGCTGAGGCTTAGCTGTGCCCTGGACAGCACAGCGACGGCGTCGGTGGAAGCCGCTTTGGTCTTTAGCTTTGGCTCATGATTTTAAGATGTCACATCATCAATCACAGACTATTGAGAATTATTATTACAAAATTGCATGAATTTTGTCACTTCTCAGGCATACCTGGCAATATTCTGAAAGTAAGGTCAGCTAACTTGTCAAGGCACATGGGAAAATTTTCCCACCCCATCTGGGTTCTCCTAAGGCTGAGCGGATGGAGAAATGAACAACAGAGCAGCTCGCAGGAGGGAAGGCCACCATGTAACAACATACATGTGGAGAGTGTACATGGTTATAAAAGCTCCAGAATAACACAATGGATTTGGGGATATTTATCTTGTTTTGTGGGCACCTGGGCGGCCCAAAAGGGGGTTGACTTCACATGACAGACCAGAAGGGGAGACCCCACCCTGACATTGATTAACAACTACAATTGGACAAAGTCTGCTCCCCCAAACCACATTCTCTAGGTCACAAAAGGGCAAGCAGTGATTGCTTTTCCCATTGGGAAGAGGGCAGCAGCTCATGATGTGACAATCTCTTCTTGATCAGGAAAGAGTGAAGGACGTGGGCAGGACAGAAGCTTCTCCACAGTCTTGAGCGATTGCATTGCTCTGAGCTTCAGCCTCTGCAGGCCAGAGCAGGGATCTGGAGACCAGTCCTGACTCTTGGGGGGGATCTGACTTTATACCCCCATTTTCTAACACTGTGAGGTGACAAGATCTCCTCAAAACATATAAACTAGCAAAGAGAATACAGGCTGAGAAGCCAGGGTCAGTGTGTCCCTCACAGCCGCCCACATGGCAGGGGCACCCCCAGCAGGATCCCCAGCCAGCCCATGTGTCTTACCTACCGGTCACCTTATCACTGGAAAATCACTTTAAAACCCACCCATCAGGGTCTCCCCTCGTGGCGCAGGCAGTTGAGCACAGCCTGTAAAGCTGTCCACAGCCTCTGCAGTGCCGGTTTGATCCCAGCCCGCCAGCGAGATACCCACATGGCACCGCAGACCTCTCTTGTCTCGCCCGCTGCTCCCCTCAGCAGTGTGTTTCATTAGTCTGCCTGTTCTGTTCCCTGCTCTGTCTCTGGTGAATCCTCTCACCCTCTCTGTGCATCTAGCCTGTACCCCGGTTCTTGTATAAATAAATAAATAAATCTTTAAAAAAATAAATAAATAAAACCCACCCCATCAGCCTTGTAAGTGTCGATCCATCTGGTTTTCTTTTTCTTGTCGAAGTGTGATTGACAGAGGCCTTTTTATTAGCTTCATGTACACATCACAATCTGACATCCGCATGCTATGTGAGACAGTCCCCACCATCAGCCCATTTCCTGAGATCTTTCCAAGGCGCAGAACTAGCTGATTGCTGTGCGGGCGGCAGAGCGCCATGTCCCGGGACTTGTCTGTTTCATAACTAGAAATCGGCCTCTCGATCCCGTTCGCCCTTCCATCCACCCCCCGACCCCACTTGCTCACCTTTGACGAGCACCAGTCTGTCCTCCTATAAGACTGGTTTGTTTTGTTTGGTTGTTTGTCTCGTTTTTCAGATTCCACTTGTGAGTGAAATCTGACTTTCAACCTACAGTCCTGGATCAGCCTAGAGTTGATTCAGGTTAGCCGGAGCTTGAAGTAGCCACCCCCGGAGAAACAGGCTTCTGCTCAGTGCCCTCCCCATGCTCACTGCCCCCGTGTATCTGCTGCCAGTCAAGTTCTTCAGGTGCCTGGAGGATATGAACGGAGCAATCACCACCTCCTTTGCTTCTGTGCTGAGCACTTCAAAGTGCACGGCAGACACCCATCAGCAGACCACCGGCTCTCGGCTGTCCAGGCGGGCGTTGATCCTCTACCTGCTGGTCACCTGCCCAGTGAATCCATGTGCGGGCATTTTTTTAAAGATTTATTTACTAATGCATACAGATACTGGGGTACAGGCTGGCGGGGCGGGGGGGGGGGCGGTGAGAGGATTCACCAGAGACAGAGTTGGGAGCAGAGCAGGTGGATCCACTGAAATCCACCGCTGAGGGGAGCAGCGGGCGAGACAGGAGAGGTCTGCTGAGCCGTGTGTGTCCACTCCCTGGCCGGGGATTGAGCTCATGTTGCAGTGGCCAGAGATAGCTTGATAGCGCTGTGTCTTTAACCCCTGCGCCACCAGGGATGCTCCCCATGTGCGGGCATTGAGGGGAACAGCTCATACACACTGTGGAGCAGAGTCGGCGCTGAGGTTAGGGGTTCAGGGGACTGCCGGGTGAGTGGCCCCAAGGAGTGAGGGCCACTCCAGGTGCAGTTCAGTGCGGACCTGCCCTCAATTTCAAGACAGGAGCCTGTAGCCATTGATGTGACTCAAATGCCCTCCCCTGGGCACAAGTGCGAAGGAGCCCCCTCCCCTGTCAGTGCAGCCACCCCAACTGGTGCCCCTGCCCCCGGGGAAGGCGGCCATCTCGGTGCCAAGACCCAGGCAGAAGGTGCTCCAGGGGATGTGCCCCACGGCGGCGCGTGCTGGAATCTCCGGCATCACTCTCCTCTGCAGACGCACAGCTCCTGCGTCACTGGCTTCACGGGGGCCACGCGCCAAGTGCTGAGGACAATGCCTGGCGAGCTGTGGGTGCCTGGTCGTGGCTGTTATTGTTACAGCCATAACAGGAGCCTTTGCAAACAAGGATGTTTTTCCCTAGCTCATTTCCCAGCTGGGAGCTGAGAAGACGGCAGGTCTTTCTGTCCACTCATGACAAATGTGGCCCCCTCCACTCTCTGTCCCTTCCAAGTGCCCCCCCACACTGTGTGGCCAACTCCACTGTCCCTCTCAGAGCTCAGAACCATCTGAAGGAGGGTCTCTTTCTGTTCTCTGGTGTGTGACTGATCTCCAGGGCCTAATACCCCCTCACCGACCAACCAGAACTCACATGAAATGTGCTCAGGGCCCAGGTCTAGAAGGAGCA